TGATTAACAGGAAGTCGGCGCGCTGGGCTGACACGAGCGTTGTGTTGGAGCCGGAATGCGGTCCCGTTGCCAGGGCTACCGCCCGTCTGGCTGCCTTGCTCTGAAGCGGAACGCTAACACGAGGAACAGGGTTGACAACAACAGTACAGGCTGATCATGCTCTCCGCGCGTGATCAACCGGGACGCGTGGGTGGTCCGCCGACGTGGTGCGACATCTGGACGTATGGCGGGGTACCCAGCTTGCACGTGGGGGATCGTAGCAGATCTAGAATGCACCAAACTTGATCGAACGAGTAGAACCTATTTATTTATTTATTCTGCGACGTTACAGACCTGCAGTTCACCAGTAATCGTGTCCACATAGGCGCAGTCGAAATATAACGGCGTCGATCGGCGCTGTGAAGTCTTAGAGTAACGTAGCTCGGGCGTGATGCAGTGTTTAGCCAAGGGCATTGATACACAGACTTGGTTGAACGAATCCGTACTCACCAAATTGCAAGGACCTTGGTACTCACAGTGCCTGCGCGTCAAAGTAACTGGGTCGAGCCCGAAGCGAAAGTTACTCACTGTCCGGATCAGCTCTCTGTGTCGCCGGTAGGAAGCTGCGCAGGAGTAAACCGCCACGTGAAGACCTGAAAATTGGCGGAGGCCTGCGGGCGCTCGGGCCGAGGCCCGGCGGGCCGGGACGCGGAGCGAACTCGCTTCTCGAGGCGGTAATCCAGTCCTCCACTCGGTGTAAAAAGGCCTCCATTAGAAGGACTGCATGTTGGAACTAATCAGATCGTAGTAATCGCGGACTGTACGACAGTAGCGCGGTAGAAAGCTCAGAAAATTCAGATGAGCTCGAGTACGTGAGCTCCCACCGCCCGCTACTTGTGATGACAATAAACAGATGACCGCTGGGTCAAGTGAGGTCAGGGGTCGTATTCTGTGCATCTAATTAATTTCTTTGATCTGTCGCCCAAAGAACTACAATGGAAAACAAGAGTCTATGTATTTATTTAGAATCAATCTACTTTGACCAAAAACATTTACACTGATTCTGTTACACTGCTTCTCAATAAAAAAGGAGAAAGGAGATATTGTGTTTCATGTGTCTGTGTGTCTGTCTGTGTGTGTGTTTCCGCACGTGCACATTTGTCGTCTTTATGGGAAGTGATGATATTTGGTATGATTGTAGGTCTAAGGAAGACCAGAATAAAGGAACAACGTTTTTTTAATCATTTTTGGTATGTAGGTAGCTTATAGAAAGACCTGCATAATTAAATGAAAACTTAATATGCAAACCATGCAACTGAAGACGTAATTTGCATAATAAAAAGGACATTCTGTAATTACGGTGTTTTACATAATCTTATCTATGTAACTGACGAGAGGTGGAACAACAAGTAAAATTGGAGATTTTATACCTCCGGGTGTGATAATAATGTTTTGTAGGTAGGTGTTGCTGTCGCCTGGTGGTAATTGCTTGGTATATGCAACCTCCTCGGTATATGGTTGATATGTTAGATGGGTGTTTTGTATTAAAGTTGAACTTTCATACAAAACATATCAACCATATACCGAGGAGGTTGCATATACCAAGCAATTACCACCAGGCAACGCGAGATACAAATGCGATCAATATCCTTTCTTCGATACCAGACACCCCTAAAAGTTTACGTGGACGGGACCGTCAATAGTTAATACACGCCAAACCTCATGGTTTGAGACCATTCTGACCATTACAGGGGTGTCCATCGCCTGTCTAAACACATCATTTTCACGCCCGAAAATACAAATACTATAAAAGCAACCATTTACAAACCAATAGCAGAACGTATACCGAGTCCCCCCGAAAAAAACGTCTACCCGAACGCGAGAAACAGCTGCGTACATAAAATACCTCCATCTCTCACAATACCTCTACGCGGAAGGATATCTCCTTCCCCGGAGGTAATTATGCAAATAATGACCTAATTTGCATAATAAATGTAAAAATTATGTGATTTCGTAATGGTGAATGATGGGAATTTTGTACCTTGTGACATGTGACAAGTTACTGAAAAGTAACATCACTATGCATATATTATGTTGATATACATGTAGACGTCATTAACATGTTGAATTGACATATCGCCAAAGAAAAGGAGTTTCATAACAAAATATTGGATTTTTTTTTAATTTTAATTTCGAAGACCATAAATTAAACTAGGCTAGGGTAATTACGACCTTACTTCCATAATCAATGAGACGAATCCCCCAAAAAAATATTTACATAAACTCTATATGCTTCATCAGATTGAGGTCTTCTTGTTCTTGGACCTGGACGAGTGAGTTATTTTTATCCTTTATATGCATATATCAACGGAATAAGTGCGACTAGACTGTACTTACCCTGATTACCTGTACAGAAGAACCACCCATCCACATTAAAACATTCTCCGTCACCACACGGACTCTGCTCGATGTCACATTCATCGATATCTAGGAATAAAAAAGAAAAAGGTAGAAGAGTCTCTTAAAAAGCAGTACACTTCATATATTTTAATAGTAGAAATCAATGATAAAGAAACAAAGTTGAATATCTTGGCAGGTCTTAAAGCTAAAGATTCTTATTAAGTTATTACCTGTATTTAAACATGTATTGGCAAAAAAGAAC